TCGAAAAGTTTTACAAATAATGTAAAATTGGGATTTCTGTGGCTTTTCCTGAGTTGCGTTTATTTAGTCGTTTGGTTTGCAAACTCAAATGGAGGCGTCTAAAACTGTAACTACAATTCTGCTTTTCCCGCGGAGCACGGCGGGCTGGGCGGGGGGACCTCGGGCAGAGGGCTGGCTGGCGTGCTGTGCGGAGGGAGCGGCGACCGGAGGGGGAAAGCCCGTGCTAAGGCAGCCCTCCTGCCTCCCCAGGTGAGGCTCAAAGCTGTGGCGGATAAGCCGGTATTTGCAAAGTATTCGGCGCCTCCCAGGCTGCGCAGACAGAACGGCTGCTTGCACAGATAGTTCCCGTTTTAATGCTCAGGTGTGAAAGGTAGGACTTAGAACCCAAAAATCAACGTAAAGACTCTTAAATGTTGAAAAACCCGCAGATTGTTGTTTTTCAGCCTCGATACGTGTCTTGTCCTTTCCGTAAGTGCCCATCGCTGTCCCTGGGGCCGAGGTGTGGGAGCGTGTGGGCTGAGGGACAGACTCTGGCTTCTCCCTCGACTTCAGGGAGCCGCTTGCCTCTCTCCTCCAGGCCAGAGGAGGATGAGCTGGTGCCTGGTTGGTTTGGTTTTTTTTTTTTTTTAAATCTGCTTGGTTCGTCTGGTTTGCACTCGGTATGTACCTTCACAGAACACACGGGCTTGGCATTAGCTGGTTTAGGAACGCTCGCTCATCCTGAGATCACGTACCTCTGAAACAGGCTTCTCGTGTCCGGCAGCGACGACAGACATGGGGCTTAATACCTCGACTTCTGGCGTGCTTGTGCTCTTCATACCTAGGATCCCTGCCCCCAAATCTCCAGCTCTTTGATCAGCTGGGACGTGCTCTGTGGCTTCTGCGGGTGCCGTCTCTGCCCCGGCGCAGGAGCAGCGTGGGATCCTGCCGTGCCCGAGGGCGAGGGCTGTGTCGCCCGCCCGTCCTGAGGCCGCGGGCTGGCCCCGGTGCCCGTGGGCAGCAGAAGGCTCGCTGGGCTCCTGTCCCTACGTCTGTGGCGAGGAGCGAAGCTCCATGTGCGGCTGCTCCGGCCGCGCGAGCCAACGTGACTCCTCTCGCCCTAGCAAGGGGGTCACAAACGCTCCCCGGCATCCTGGGCCTGAGCCTTTCCCACACGGACCCTGTCCTGCCCTGCGTTGGTCATGTAATCCTCCCTTGGTCACTGGGTTTGCATGTCTCTGGAAGGGAGGGGCAGGGTGGTTTCTTTAATGAAGGCTTTTTTTCATTAAGTTGATTAGTTTCTGAAAGGAGGGAATGCTTTTCACTGATGTACCAGTTCCTGTTTAATCTGCATTAGGTTCTTGCTATTGTGGGAGCAGACAGGCTGGTTCTCCTTATAAAGCGTGTTTCCTGTGTGCTCTCGGCAGTTGGAGAAATGAGTTGTAGCAAAATTACCAGTTTAACTTCCCGTATGAATGATGACTTGCTCTATTTTGGTCCGAGCCAATAACTTGAGCCTTTTCTTCATGCAGAAAGCAACCCCTTCTAAAAGCAGGAAACCCTCAAACCCGGTGCAGGAGATGCTCGGATGGTAGAGTTCGGTGTCGGAGAACATAGCTGCCCGCTTGTTCAGGTCAGCCAGATCCCGATGCCTTGGGAGTTGAAGACTGCTCCAAAACCCAGCGGGTCAGGGATGGGGGGGGGTCTCAGCTACCATCCAGAAACCCCTGCCCGCCCTGGCCCTCCTCCCGCAGGAGGAAAGCATGGGAAGCAAGGACTGTCCCGGAGCGCTGCCAGCAGCAGCCCCTGCCCTCCCTCTCGCTTTGCACTGGGCTCGGGCTGCTAAGCAGGTACTGCCTTCAGAAACGTGGCCCTGCCGGAGCCATCAGCTGCCTGCCGGAGGTCCTCTGGGTCCCCTGGCCCCCGTCCCTCCTCCTCCTCAGGGCTGGAGGAAGACACGACCCCTTGATCCCCCTGAGCTTGAGCCAGGGCTGCCTCGCTGCCCTTCCCCTTCCCCCAAGGGCAGATGTCTGGGGGAGGGCTGATTTGGCGATGCTCAATTACAGCCTGCTGTTAACTGCATTGCGATCAGAACATATTCCTCAAAATAAGCTGCTAGGGTGGAGAAAATGAGCAGGCCCCTTGCTGCTGCTGCTTCCCAACCTGCCGGCGTGCGCAGGGTAACCGGGGCTTGTGCCACCCGCAGGGCTGTGGCGGGAGAGGGTTTCAGTGCCGCGGCGCTCCGGGGCTGTCCAGAGAAACCGTCTGGGGAGGTGGGA